GAAGTCTGCATTCAATTTTCTGTAATTTTCCCTATCTCCCTTGCATTTTGTTTCCCTTTTCTCTCTGCTATTTCTAAGGCCTCATTGGACAGCCACTTTGCTTTCTTGCATTTCCTTTTCTTTGGGATGGTTTTTATTGCTGACTCCTGTACAGTGTTACGAGCCTCCATCCATAGTGCTTCAGGCACTTTGTCCACCAAATCTAGTTCCTTAAATCTGTTCTTCACTTTCACTGTGTATTCATAAGGGATTTGGTTTAGATTAAAACTGACTAGCCCAGTGGTTTTTCCTACTGTATTCAGTTTAAGCTTGAATTTTGCTATAAGAAGCTGATGATCAGAGCCACAATCAGCTCCAGGTCTTGTTTCTGTTGAGCTTCTTCATCTTTGGCTTTTGCCCTGCTTCATTTTGAACTCCAAGGCCAAACTTACCTCTTGTTCCTTTTAGCTTTGACTCCCTACTCTAGCATTCCAGTCCCCTATAATGAGAAGAACATCTTTCTTTGATGTCAGTTTTAGAAGGTGTTGTACGTCTTCATATAATTGGTCAATTTCAGCCTCTTCAGCATCGGTGGTTGGTGCAGAAACTTGGATTGCTGTGATGTTGAAAGGTCTGCCTTGGATTCATATTGAAATCATTCTATCCTTTTTGAGATTGTATCCCAGTACAGCTTTCCCCTCTGTTTTGTTGACTGTGAGGGCTACTCTATTTCTTCTATGGGATTCTTGCCCACATTAGTAGATCTGATAATTGTCTGAATTTAATTCATTCATTCCCATCCATTTTAGTTCACTGGATGTCAGTGTTTATTCTTGCCATCTGTTTGACCACATCCAGCTTCCCAAGGTTCATAGATCTTACATTCCAGGTTCCTATGCAGTATTTTTCTTTGCAGCATCGGACTTTCCTTTCACTTCCATGAGCGTCCGCAGCTGAGTGTCCTTTCGGCTTTGGCCCAATGATTTCATTAGCTCTGGATCTACTTGTACTTGCCTTCTGCTCTTCCTCAGTAGCATGTTGGATGCCTTCCGACCTGAGGGGCTCATCTTCCAACATCATATCTTTTAGCCCTTTGTTTCTGTCCATGAAGTTTTTTTGGCAGTTCCTGTCAGAAGTCTCCACTATGACCTGTCCATCTTGGGTGTCCCTGCATGGCACAGCCCATAGCTTCTCTGAATTACTCAAGCCCCTTCGCCACAACAAGGCAGCAATCCGTGAAGGGGAAAGACTAGATTAATTTATTCCATCATGGGTTTTCATGCACTACAGCCCATTGTATCATATGCTTGGAGTGTTTATCAGTGTTTCAGGTATATTTACATAGTACAGCAAGAATGTCTTATCCACAGAGTCTGTATCCACTGATTCACTTATCTACGATCTAAAAATATTAAAACGAAAATCTCCCCAAATATATATTTAGCAACGAAGTTACCATAATTGGCCACTAGAGTGAGCCAGAGACCATGCTATTGAAGGAGTCAAATCAACACATACAGTATATACCATGTTCCCCCGAAAATAAGACTGGCTCTTATATTAATTTTTGCTCCAAAAAAACACATTAGGGGTTATTTTCAGGGGATGTTTTATTTTGTCATGTACACCAATCTACATTTATTCAAATACAGTCCTGTCATCTTCTGGTTGCTGCACCATGGTGGAAGGCGGGGTTTCACTTAACTAGGGCTTATTTTGGGGGTTGGGCTTATGTTACAAGCATCCTAGAAAATCATACTAGGGCTTATTTTCAGAGAAACAGGGTATATAAAAGAATGACTTAGCCTAACTGGAACTGTCTTGCCTCTGTAATTTGCTTTCCTACATGAATGTGTAACCCTGTTATTATCAGGGTTTCTGCTTAGTAGACAAAGAGACAAAGGAAGGAGCCCGACTGCATTCCTTTACTTGCAAGTACAGTAAATAGTCTAATTGGGAATTCGTCCTTGGCTACTGATAAAGAGACCTGGGTGCTTAGCGCAGAAGCGGGAGAAATGAATTGTTGCCAATAAGCCTAGGCACCTGCAACCCCTCCTTTCCCGCTCCTTCTCCAGATCCCCCTTGGCCTTCTCCTTTTCCTCTAAGCTTTTTAAAATGTACTGTACTCTGTAATAAGCGCAGTGTGCTCTCCCCCGCATGTTCTGGTGGACGGAGCTGCATCCATTATCTTTGCTTCTTTTCAGCTGAAAGTAAACAAATCTATATATCGGATCCCCTTGTCCCTGGTTAATTGAACATATATCAGAGGCAGGTTAATGTCCAGAAATTAGTTCTGGCACCCTCCGCTACGTATAGCATTTGCTATTTAAATAGCATACACTATAATCTGTGTTTTTCAGCATCCAGGGGGAGGGGTTTTTGGAACCAATCCCCCATGGATATGGGGGCCCTCCTGTGCAGTATGGGCCAAACATGTCTAGCA